CAGCTGGCTCACACCTGTATTCCCAGCATTTGGGAGGCCGATGGTGTGGTGGATCATTTGAGGTCAGGGAGTCGGATACCCAGGCCTGGGGCCAACATGTGAATTCCATCTTTTACTAAAAATACAAAAATTATCTGGGTGTAGTGGCAGGCACCTGTAGTCCCAGCTACTCGGGATGCTGAGGCAGGAGAATCACCTGAACCTGGGAGCCAGAGGTTGTAAGTGAGCCCTGATAGTGCCACTGCACTCCAGCCTGTGCAACAGAGTAAGACTCGTTCTCAAAACAAACAAACAACAAAACCCAAAAGTCCGGGCGCAGGGGCTCATGCCTGTAATCCCAGCACTTCGGGAGGCTGAGGCAGGCGGATCACCAGAGGTCAGGAGTTCGAGACCAGCCTGGCCAACAAGGTGAAACCCCGCCTTTACTAAAAATACAAAAATCAGCCAGGTGTGGTGGTAGGCACCTGTAATCTCAGCTACTCTGGAGGCTGAGACAGGAGAATCACTTGAACCCAGGAGGAAGAGGTCGTAGTAAGCAGAGATAGTGCCAATGGACACCAGCCTGGGTGACAAGAGTGAAACTCCCGTCTCAAAAAAAAAAAGTGGAAAGTTTTGCTTGCTAGAAAGGCTCTTCCTTTAAAGTCTGGACTGCAAAATCCCTTAGATATCTACCTAACAACTTGACATGATAAAAGTGAATTCCATATAGCAATAACTACCTGGGAAAGGAGTTTTATGGCATCGTCTCTTTTTCTGTTCCCAAAGAAAAGTTTAATTCAAAAAATATAAAATATATATATATATCACAATGATACAATATTGCACTATGGATACGCTTAATTTCTACAAAGTTAGAGATGAAGAATTATAATCTCAACACATGAATTGGGAACGAGACAAATCTCTGAAATTAGGCTCACCGGAATATATGCATGCTGAATATATACTTTCCAATATACACCAAACCTTTCTAGCAGTCACAAAACAAATAAATAAATATGCCAGGTACTGTGGCTCACGCTTGTAATCCCAGCACTTTGTGATGCCAAGGTGGGAGGATTGCTTAAGGCCAGGAGTTCAAGACTAGCATGGGCAACATAGCAAGACCCCGTCTCTAAGAAAAAAAAAAAAAAAAAAAATCTGAAAATTAGCCTGGCATGGTGGCACATGACTGTAGTCCCAGCTACTCAGGAGGCTGGAATGGAAGATTGCTTGAGCCCAAGAATTTGAGACTACAGTGAGTTATAATCACACCACTGAACTTCACCCTGGGCAGAGCAAGATCCTGTCTACGAAAATAAAAATAAAAGGCCGGGCACGGTGGCTCACGCCTGTAATCCCAGCACTTCGGGAGGCCGAGGCAGGCAGATCACAAGGTCAGGAGATCGAGACCATCCTGCCTAACATGGTGAAACCCCGTCTCCACTAAAAGTACAAAAAATTAGCCGGGCGCAATAGTCCTGGCTACTCAGGAGGCTAAGGCAGGAGAATGGCGTGAACCCGGGAGGCGGAGCTTGCAGTGAGCAGAGATCGCACCACTGCACTCCAGCCTGGGCAACAGAGCCAGACCCTGCCTCAATCAATCAATCAATCAATCAATATAAAAATAAAAATAAATAAATAAAAATAAAAAACAGGCCATGGCCAGGTACGGTGGCTCACGTCTGTAATCCCAGCACTTTGGGAGGCCAAGGCGGGTGGATCACGAGGTCAGGAGATCAAGATCTTCCTGGCCAACATGGTAAAACACCATTCTCTACTAAAAATACAAAAATGAGCTGGGCGTGGTGGCCTGTAACTACAGTCCCAGCTACTTCGGAGGCTGAGGCAGGAGGATCACTTGAACCCGGGAGGCGGAGGTTGCGGTGAGCTCAGACCACGCTGCTGCACTCCAAGCCTGGGCGATAGAGTAAGACTCGATCTCAATAAAAATAAATAATAAGTCTTTTCTCAAAAAGAGTAAGGATCACTAGAAAATGTATTGGAGAACCATTCGTTTTCTCCTAAATTCAATCTAAAATGCAGAGCCAAATAAAACCACCATAAATTCCTTTAGTAATCTTCTAGGCCTTTCAGTTCAGCAAATTTCACATACTACATACAATTCTGTGGCTTTCCTCATTGCCCACTCTTCAAACACAAATTCAAATTTTTATTAATACTGTGAGACTATTAATAAAGCTCTCTTTGGCTAAGAAAAACAAAAATTGAATTCTTAAACTCCAATAGGGAAACCTTAAGAGGAAAACATGGCTTAAAGGATCCAAGTGTTCGTATACAGATATAAGCTAATCCTTTCAAATCATGTCTAAAATTTCTTTCAACAACATCTCATACATTCCTCCCAAAACACAGAACTTTATCAGCATCCAGTATTCTGTCTTCAATCAATCCCAACAACCCTTCAAAGCTACCAAAGTGTTAATTTATAAAACAAAAGAGAATAATTCATAGTTCTACTCCCCAGCTCAAAGTCACAAATCAAATCTTAAAAAATGTATTCAACTATCCTTCCTCAAACAGCTTTGCCCCCAAAATTTATATTCTAATCTAACTTAATCAGGTGTATTATCAATGTCAGTATTGTAAAATTAGGAATCTTTGTCACATTGTAATCCACAAAATCCTTGGGTATACAATGGTTTCTATAAAAGCTAAAAGCTACATAGAACTCCATTTCCAAACAGGATAAATATATAAAACATAAAATATTTTTGGCCAAAAGCCAAATTCAATATTAATACACCTTTCCCCCTCCTCTGGTGCACAGAAAAGTCACCTGAAAAGTTTTAATCACAGATTCACAGTATATTCACAAATGGAAACAAAACAGTTATCCTACTTCAAAACTGGAGGGTGTGGTGGGGGGAGAAAATACTAACCAATCTCTGGCTGTAACGAATCCTTTCTTCTTCGGGTTCCATCTCTCACTCTTCTGTTGAAATTACTGTAAAGAAACCACTCCAGGGCTGCCTTCCTCTTCCTCCTTAGGAACCAGATTGCAACACTAAAGAATAATGATACAAGCATAAATGAGAACTCATTCTCAAACTTGTGCTTTCTGTTCACGGAAAGGAGTATTTAAGGTAACTGTTAAAGGTTCTCTGAAAAATCAGGTTCCTCTTCATGAGTTTGGGACCTTTCTGCTTTTGGGCAAGTGGTTCCATGTCATGTTCAACATTAATCACATTACAACTGTCGGAGGCCTAGACGAAACGAGATGTTGGTTTCAGTTCCTTGTGGATGGGCCACACCACTAGTTTCTCCCCACAGGATTACCACTAGCAAGGATCCCCTTCGTGACAGCATCAGCAAGAAAAAAAAAGCTCAGGACTTTTATCTCTAGAGAGCTGACCAGGTGAAACACCACTGAACTAATCCCAATCCTAACCAAATTAGTTCTCTCTCACCAGTAATCAGAAACTAAAGGAAAGAAGGGCAGACTATGTAAAAAGAGGACAAGAAATTAGGATTTAAATGACCCCAAAACAATTTCCCATACCCCTCCTGTAAGGCCGTGCACAATCGCCGCCTTCCTTTCTAGACTCCCCGGGTCTTTTCATTCTCAAATCTACCCTCCACCCCAACACAAGATGTGCACAACTCTGAAACAAATTTCAGAGGCACAAATCAAGGACCAAAATTCCATCTGATCTTTTTGGATAAAGTAATAAAATAAACGATCGCATCTATGGATACGAGGAAAATACATCTTGTCCAAAAATGCAATAAAAGACCGGCCGGCGCGACGGTCAATCGGCAATACCAAGAAAGGGTTTCCTTTTTTCTAAATATTCTCGTGGATAATGGCTTCCATTGAGAACGCAGGTTCCCCCCGTTTTTGTCACTACATTACAGCCACGTTAACAGCATCCTTTCAAAACTGCTACGAGACCGGAGGACCCGATGACACAGTTTGCGAGAGCAGTTGGTGGCAGAGCCCTCCCGGAGGAAGCCCTGGCCCGAAGTCCGGAGGGAAACCGTGCTTGCACCCCCTGGGCGACGACCACCCGGGCTTGGAGCAGCCAGGGCCGGAGAGGAAAAAGGGCGAATGTCGCTGGGCTCCCCCAGGAAAACGCGTTTCAATGGTTCACCCATCGGAAAAAGAAATAGAAACTTTACATTCAGTCTTTGGATAACACAGTCAACCAAACTTCCAAATGAGGGGGGAGGGGGGAACTCACCGGAGATTCTGCTCTTGAGTTCTTGTCCAAGTCAGAAGTAAAAGATTCCAAAGCTGAGAGGAATAATTAAATCCCAAACGTCGTCTTCGGTTTTTCCGTGGATCAACCCAGTATCCAGAGAGGGTCAGAGCGACCAGGAAAAGGGAGCAAACAGTTGCTGAATCAAACCTCCTCTTCTGGCTTTGGAGACCGGGAGTCGGAGGCGTCAGGAGAGGCGAGCGCGACCCCTCGGCGCCGAGCCCGGGGCGCCCCCGCCTCCCCCGGGCCAGTGGTCAGCAGCCCGGGCCCGAGCCCCGGGCCGGCCCCGGCCGCAGGGAGCGCCCTCCTCGCCGTGCCCTCGGCCAGCAGGGGCTGGTCGCCTCCGGGAGCAGCGGCCGATCAGCTGAGACCGGCCGGCCCGAGGCTCCCCGCGCCGCCCCGGCCCCCCGGAACGCGGGCCCCGGCCCCGGGGGGCGGACAGGGCGGGAGCGGCGCGGCACGCCGGGTTGGGGGCCCTGGCTCCCCTCGCGTCTCCCCCTCAGCTCCGGCTCCGCGCTGCGGGACGAGCCCCCCGGCTACTCCCCAGTCGCAGAGGAGGGATTCCGGGGGATGGGCCCCCTGGCGTTGCCCCTCCTCCCGGAGCGCCCCCTGCCCAGGAAAGACAGAGCGGCGACAGGCCCAGCCGCTGGGAAGGTGCTCCGCGAGCCGCCGCCGCCGCTGCCGGGGAGGGGTGTTGTTTCCCTCACACAGGAGGAGCCGCTGAAGCAGCCGCCGCCATTTTGAACCCGTCAGACTCTCACATACACACAGCTCCTCCGAGGCGCACTGCGCAGGCGCCACCTCCCCACCCCTCCTCCAGCTCGCCTCTCCACCCCCCACCCCCTTCAGGCCTCCCTGCGCTTCTTACCGCTCTCCCGGGCGCGCGTGAACGCGCACGCGTCACTCCCCTCTAACGCGGACACACCGCCGGCGCGCGCACGCGCGGATGCGTCGGCCTCGAATCGCCCGCGCCCCGCGACGCCGACGCGGCTCCCTGCGCCCCCTCGCGTCAGGCCGCCCGCCCGCCCGCCCTCCCGCCGGCCCGCCGCCCCCGCTCCCCGTCGGCGTTCTTCCAGGGCTCGGGCCCGGCCGGCTGCTCGCGCCTGCGCGAAGGGCACCGATCCTCCTCCGCGCGCCCTCCCCCCACGCACCCTCACACACACTTCGCCTCTGTGACCCCGCCCCTCGCGGCCAGCTGCGCCGGTCGCCCTCCCCCATCCCCCTTGGGAGGGTGGTGACCCCCCCCGACCCCCTACAAAGCATATCACCCCCCCCAAGCAGTGAGAGACATGCGCCCCCTTCCCCTTCAACCGCCCTCGGCCCCAGGCGGCCCGTCACAGTCACACAACCTGAGGGCCAGGAGGCCTGGGCCAGGGCAACCGATGCCCGCCTCAAAGCAGGGTCTCCCGGGGTCAGGTCGCCGGGCTGGGCCTGCGCGACCTGGGCTCCCGGCTCAGGGCTGCCCAGGGCGAGAGGGCGCAGGGAAGGGGTGCATGGCCGCCGGCTGCCTTCCCTTCGCGTGCCGGCCGGTGGGCCGAGGCCGGCCTGCCCGCCATCCCTAGGCAGGCCCCGGCGCCGCCGCCACGGGGCCCGTCCGCCCTGGGCCCGGGGGCTCCTCGGTGCAGCGGCCTGGCCCCGCCTCACCCACTGCTCGTCGCTCCGAAGGGGCAGGAAACAGGAGTAGCATGTCTGTCCTGGGCTCGGCTCCCTGGGGGAGCTGCAGGCGCTTAACAAGGGCGTCCACAGGTACCAGGCGCAGGAACGGTCTCCGCGACGGCCCGGGGGCGGCGGCGGCCGGCGCGCCCACCGCCGGCCGGAGGCGCCTGGCGAGGTGGCCCAGGAAGCCCCCGCTCCTCGGTCACGCTCAGCTTTCCGCCGCGCCGGTGCCCCCGGCGGCCCGGGTGGGACGTGACCCCGCCCCCGGCGAGTCGGGGCGCCCCCCACGGAGGGGTGCGCGGGCCGCCCCCGGCCCCCGGCCCGACCCTGCCGCCCCGGGCCGTGGCGGGCGCGGGAGGCCCGACCGGGAAGATGTCTCCTCTTGGTGCGCGCAGCTTCGCGCGGGGGTCAGCGATGGGGCAGCGGCCGCCCGAGCTGCGCCGGCCCTGCCCACGGACCGGCTCCCGCAGCCCGACAGCTGCCCGACGGGCCAGCAGGCTCCGAACGTCGACGGAGCCCGGCCGGAGGTACCCGAGCAATGCCATGCGAGCAGCCCAGCCGCGATCCGGGCATTTCCCCAGCCAATCTCTTGCTCTGGGGCCCGTTTAAATTCTAAATCCCACAAAGGATGGTGGCTGGGGCGTTACACATCGGGGTTGGCACTACTGGCTCCACTACGCCCTTGTTGAGCGGTGTCACACAAATCTTTTTCTCCCTGCCTTGGTTTCCCACTCTTCAGGTTCTGACTCCTGGAAGCAGGGAATGGAGCAGAGAGGTAGGGCATGGAGTGAATCATATAACCTGCATAAACAGCCATCAACCCTTTCAGGAGGACGTTAGCGAGACAATTAAAATAATGATACCTTCTAATTCTATCAAGGCTTGAACTCCAAGGTAAAAGCGCTACGTCAGTGCAAGGTATTATTATTTATCACCACAGAAGGTTTTTCTGCATGCAGAACTTGGGGAGTTTGTACAGACATTCTCTGCTTTGTTTCACAACATCCTTAGGAGACAAGCTGAAGTGCCTGTTAGCGCTATATCCATTTTAAAGATAGACAACTGAAGAATAGAAAGGTTAAAGAGCTTGCATAATTACTCCAACAGCCGACTGAAACATCTCACACACAGCTAAAAAGGTTTGTTAATAAAGTATCATCCTCTTGCATTCTAGTCACTGGGAAATATTCTTTATTTTGATACCAGTTTTGTTCAGACTTCTTAGATTTTCAGAGCACTGATACAAAATAGATAATCACAGAAACTGTATCAGATCTAAAGTCTCTTTAAATCTTTCCGACTGTGGTAAAATATATTTTAAAAGCAGCAGTCTCTCACACTGGTGCTACCAGATATGGTCCCATAGGCATCTGGCTCTCTGTAGGTATAGGAAAAGTTAGCAGCTTGTTTCGTTTGTTTTTTAAGCAGGAGAGAAAGCTTTTGCCATTGTCAGATTAAGTGTTGGGCCTTGTTGCTATTTGCAAAATAAACAGCTTTATTTCCTTCCTACTCACCCTTATAACCCAGGGAATACTTGGCGGAAAAGAGAAAGTCTCTAGGAGTAGCTCAACTTGGTCTTGCCCTTTTTCTTAACATTCAGACCCCCTTAAGTAATTAACCCTCAAGGTAAGTTGCACACCCTTGGCGAACAGATACCTCCAAGTTTAACTCATGTGGGCATGCTGGAAGGAAACCTAGAAAGGCTTTAGACCAGGCTGGGCACAGTGGCTTACACCTGTAATCCCAGCACTTTGGGAGGCCAAGGCAGGTGGATCACCTGAGGTCAGGCGTTCAAGACCAGCCTGGCCAACATGGCAAAACCCCGGCTCTACTAAAAAAAAAAAAATATACAAAATTAGCTGGGCATGGTGGTGCATGCCTATAATCCCAGTTACTTGGGAGGCTGAGGCAGGAGAATCACTTGAATGCAGGAGGTGGAGGTTGCAGTGAGCCGAGATGGCGCCAATGCACCCAGTTTGGGCTACAGAGCAAGACTCCACCCCCTCGTCCCCCCTCAAAAAAAGGCTCTAGAACAGTAATACTAGTACTTATTTTGAATGGGACTGCAAGTAGAGCAAGATTTGTCAGATTGCAGCCAGCTCTTTTCCAGTAGAAAACCATTTGTTAACTAGTCTGCGTTGGGGGAATGGGACATTTAAACAGATATACACAATGGTTTCTCCACAGGCAGGCTTTGTTAATATTCCAGAGCAGATATGCAGGGTGAGATAAGAGATAGACAGATGGCTGGTGATTCCTCCCACCATCACAGTGGCTCTGATTGGCAAAGACAGATCTGTGAGGCTCACTGCATTGGTCTAAAACAGCCATTTGCAGGGAGAATAGAGCTTGGGGGATTCCCCAAGAAGGCCACCAGAACTGTGAACTCTATGGCTTCAACCCTGACAATGGTATATGGGAAAAAGGAAATAAAAATGCATTCTAGAGGCACTGAGAACAGGGTCCCTGGCTGGAATAAATTGGTACCTTAATAAGATATTAATAAATCCCTGCCTTTTTGAGCAAAGCTAAGACCCAACAAATGCTGAGAGTCAAAATCCAGTCACCCTTTTCTTTTCTCTTCTTTTCTTTTCTTTTCTTTTTTTTGGGATGGAGTTTTGCTCTTGTTGCCCAGGCTGGAGTGCAGTGGCTCAATCTCGGCTCACTGCAACCTTCACCTCCTGGGTTCAAGCAATTCTCCCACCTCAACCTCCAAGTAGCTGGGATTACAGGTGTCCGCCACCACGCCCGGCTCACCCATTTCTTTTGGGAGACTTTACAGTGCGAAAAGAGAACTCTTTAGTCTGGTTAAGCTAAGCTATTTCCAATTTCTCCTTAAATGTTAAGGAGGAAGTAAAGATGTCCCAAACAATGTAGGTCTAAACTAAAATAGAGAAGTTGGTTGTGAAGATTCCCCAGGAGGTAGCATAACCAGTGGTTAAAAAGCTTTGGCCGGGTGCCGTGACTCACACCTGTAATCCCAACACTTTGGGAGGCCGAGGCAAGCGGATCATGAGGTCAAAAGTTTGAGACCAGCCTGGCCAATGTGGTGAAACCTCGTCTCTACTACAAATACAAAAAATAGCTGGGTGTGATGGTACGTGCCTGTAATCCCAGCTATTCAGGAGGCTGAGGCAGGAAGAACTGTTTGAACCCGGGAGGCCGAGGTTGCAGGGAGCCGAGATCACGCCATTGTACTCTAGCCTGGGCAACAGGGGGAGACTCTGTCTCAAAACAAAACAAAACAAAACAAAAACAAAAAAAGAGGCTGAAGTGGAGGATTGCTAGAGTCCAGGAGTTGGAGGTTACAATGAACTATGACTATGCCACTGCACTTTAGCCTGAGTGACAGTGAGACCCTATCTCTAAAAAAAATAATAATAATAAAAAAAGAAGGGAAGGTTTTAGGTAAAGATGATTCAATATTTAAGAAACTTGAAGTTTTCATGTGAGTCAAGAGTTTGCGTAGACCTTAAGTGTGATGACTTATTCCTCGATTCTCTTCCCCCTCCCTTTTTTAATTTTTTTTAAATTTTTTTATTTTTAGACAGTCTTGCTGTGTCACCCAGCCTGGAGTGCAATGGCATGATCTTGGCTCGCCGCAACATCCATCTCCCAGGTTCAAGCAATTCTCCTGCCTCAGCTTCCTGAGAAGTTGGGATTACAAGCACCTACCACCATGCCTGGCTAATTTTTGTGTTTTTAGTAGAGACAGGGTTTCACCATGTTGGCCAGGCTGGTCTCAAACTCCCTATCTCAGGTGATCTGCGCCCCTCAACCTCCCAAAGTGCTGGGATTACAGGCATGAGCCACCGCACCGGGCCCTCTTACCTATCCTAACTCCTGGTTTCTCTCCCCAACCCCCAACCCTGGTGTCTCCACTTTTTATTTTTCCCTCTTCCGTGACTCCAGCTGCCTCTTTCTCATCATCACCTACCTCCTGAAGTCTCTTTCTCTCCAGCCTTCTTTCTGTCATTTGGCCCACCCCCTCCTCCATGTTCATTGTCTCTCTCCTGGCCCAGTATCATCTGACTGAATGGCTTGCCCACTTTCCTTTAGAATCCATTCGGTGCCCTTAATCACCTCAATCCCATGCTCTCTGATTGTGTTACTTAACCATTTCCTGAACATATCCCTCCACCCGCCCCCAACCCCAGGAAAAAAAAAAAAAAGAAAAAAAACTCCTAGGGTTAAATGGTGTTGAGGGGTGATGATAGAAAGTCTTTTTTTCTTTTTTCTTTTTTTTTTTTTTTTTTTTTTTTGAGACGGAGTCTCACTCTGTCACCAAGGCTGGAGTGCAGTGGTGTGATCTCGGCTCACTGCAAGCTCCGCCTCCAGGGTTCACGCCATTCTCCTGCCTCAGCCTCCCAAGTAGCTGGGACTACAGGCGCCCGCCACCGCGCCTGGCTAATTTTTTTGTATTTTTAGTAGAGATGGGGTTTCACCGTGTTAGGCAGGATGGTCTCCTCAATTTCCTGACTTCGTGATCCACCCGCCTCGGCCTCCCAAAGTGCTGGGATTACAGGCGTGAGCTGTCACGCCTGGCCAAAAGTTTTAAGTTTGGAAGTTGAATCTGAATTGATCAGGGAAGAAAAATGGAAGGCAGAAATGCCCTGCAGATTCTTGGATCATCAGACATGGATGTCGCATGAGGTTCTTGCATGGAACGTGGCTGACCCTTTCCTTGGGACCATGGGACCACCACCCTCCCTGGCCCCATGCTTCCTTGCTGCCAGCTTTTCCAGGTATGTGACCATCAGCTGTGCAGACCCACTGCTCCTGAGTGCTGGGGTGAACTTTGGCTGTTGGGGCAACTGCAGCAGTGTCTGAGACCCACCTGTTCTTCAGCAGCCTTAGCTTTGCTTTGGGGCCAGGCCACCCTCACTTCTCACTTCTAAAAGGGTGGGACTTCCTGCTGTGCCTGGGCGTGGAGCTCAAAGATGCAGAGCCTGTGTGTCAGCTACACCTGCTTGCTGGGGGCAGTTTCTGGCACCCTGGGGTTTCAGGGTCTGTTTGCGACCTTGCACTAGCTTCCCAGCTTGGGTTGGTGGTGACAGTCATGCGGGGCTCCAGCCATTTCCCCAAAGGACCAAATGCTTAAGCACTTAGGCCTGTTTAGCCCCTCTCAGTGAGACTGATCTTTGTTTATCTTCTTCAAGGGCATTCACTACCTTTCGTCAGTTTCTGCTAAAGCTGGTGTTCCTTCAGCCACTTTGTGAGAGGTTCTGAGCCCGTCAGAACTTCAGTTCTCTTTAATAAAACAGAGTAGGCCGGGCGCGGTGGTTTACACCTGTAATCCCAGCACTTTGGGAGACCAAGGCAGGCGGATCACCTGAGGTCAGGAGTTCAAGACCAGCCTGGTCAACATTGTGAAACCCCATCTCTACTAAAAATACAAAAATTAGCTGGGTGCGGTGGCACATGCCTGTATTCCCAGCTACTCCTTTCAACCGTCCCCAGTCTTGCTCACATAAGCTGCGTGTTCCTTCACGCCACACTCTGTCGACCGAAGGTTCTGACCGTCAGAACTAACAATCAACCCCTTCTCTTTATAAAACAGAGTCACGAGAAAACCAAAGCTAGCGCGGTGGTTTACACACTGTAAATCCAGCAACTTAGAGAGAACCAAGGCAACGAGCGGACACTGACGTACCCCCGCGAAGTAACGCAGCTGGGCATTGTGAACCATCTCTACAAAACCACAATCCAGCTCGCGGTGCGGCTGCGGCTGTACTAGCCTCGGAAGCAAACAAAAAAACAAAACCGAAAGGCAGAAGAGCACCACACACATGAGACCATAAGAGAGAAAGGTAAGGCATAGGAAGAGCGCTGCAGCTGACCCAAGATCATGCCACTCGCAACTACGCCTAGGGCAACAGAGCAAGACTCCCCTCGTCTCAAAAAAAACCTATATACAATGTTATCTATATAATAATATAAAACATATATAATATGGGCCAGCCGCGCCGTGCTCAAGCCTGTAATCCAAGCACTTCGGCGGGAGACAAGGCGCGATACGCGGTTCAGGCGTGACGACAACCCTGGCGGAACACGGTGAAACCCCCCGTCTCTACTAAAAAAATACAAAAAAAATCTAGCGGCGTGCCGAGGCGGCGCGGCGCCCTGTATCCCAGCTACCTCGGAGGCTGAGGCAGGAGACAAATGGCGTAACCCGGGGGGACGAGGCTGCAGTGAAGCTGAGAATCCGGCCACTGCACCTCCAGCCCCGGGCGATCCAGACCAGACTCACTGTCCCCAAAAAAAAAAAAAAAAAAATAAAAAAATATATATATATAATATAGTAATAAAACATATGTAAACATATATACAACACCCAACACCACGCTTGCGCCTGTTTCAGTCGTCGGAGGAATACTAATCCGATGCAACCTTCTGGAAACTAGAATAATCAACCCTTATTTTCCCACCGAAACGACTCCTTCTGAACGGCTCTGCCCAGCGGCTCATCGCTGTTCATCCAGCATCTTCGGCGGAGACACGCCTGCGGCACTCACCTGACGTCAGAGCTACACGCAGCTGCAACATGCGAGCAGTCTCTCTACAAATCAAAACGTAACTGGGCCTGGTGGCTCATGCCTGTACAGCTTACCTCGGCGGCGAGCAGGCGACATCGCCCGCACCGGGGCCCCGCTGCTGCCACAAGATCGCACTATTGCAGTCCCAGTGGACAACACAGTGCCAACTTCATCTCAAACAAAAAAAAACCCACAATAAAAAAAGACGCCACCACCACCGCGATTTCCCTGACACTTTCCCCTTTTTCCTAAACAAATATATATTTGATACTGTTGTAAATTTTTTTCCATGAGAAAACCAAAGGTCTCACATGATGTTGCACCCTGCCCTGGCAAAAATAAATTAGAGGT